AAGCTGTCGCTCAGTGAAGAATAAGTCATTGTCCATCGGGGATTTTGTAACATCTCAGGACATTGACATTCTTGCATTGACAGAAACATGGTTAGGTTCAGATATCGATGACCAGGTCCTAGCTGAGCTAATACCAACAGGCTATGAATTCCACCACAATGCTAGACTCAGCATACGTGGTGGTGGGGTGGCTGTTCTGTTAAAGAAAGGCCTAAGTGTGAGACATCTCTCTCCCAGCCATGAAAATGTATACACACACTTTGAGCACATGACTTGTTCTGTCACTGCTGGTGATAAACAATTTAGATTGTGTATCATTTACAGGTATCTACCATCTAAACAGAATACTTTCCGAAATACAGTGTTTTTTGATGAATGGTCTACCTTTTTAGACCACCAAGTTGTTGTACCACAAGAAATTATTATCGCGGGTGATCTAAATTTCCACTTAGACGATTTATCTAATGTTGATGGTCGCCAGTTCTCTGGTCTACTAGACTTCAGAGGTCTGATTCAGCATGTGACAGAAGTTACACACACCCATGGCCACACACTGGAGGTGGTCATAACGAGGGAAGATAACTCAGTCATTCATGGAGCCATTTCAGTGATTGATCCATGTCTAAGTGCTGTAAAGGGGAACCAATCCGGTGATCATCTTGCTGTCCACACAACACTGAATTGTAGTAAGCCAGCTCGTGAAAGGTAAGAAGTGAGCTTCCGGAAATTCCGCGAAATTTCAATACCAGATTTCAACAATGACATTCAGTCTTGTTCCGCTCTTCAATATTCTGAAGGCGAGGTTGATGATCTTGTTGAAGCATACACATCTGGTATAGAAGCCCTTATAGAGAAACACGCACCTCTGCAAACTAAGGTGATAACTGTGAGATCAAATGCCCCGTGGTATAGTGAAAATGTACGCGTAGAGAAACAGAACCGTAGAAAAGAAGAGAGACAGTGGCGACGGACCAAACTAACCGTTCACCAACAGATTTATAGAGACCAATGTCGGCTAGTTGGTTCACTACTTTTTCAGTCAAAGAATGCTTATTATTCGTAGGGAATCGAAGAATGCGGCAAGGATAATAGACAGCTTTTTAGACTAACCAAAAACCTAATGGGACAGAAATGTTAAAATTATCCTACCAAGCTGTAATTCTGAAAAAGACTAAGCAAGCAAGTCCAGTGACTACTTTCTGAATAAAATCAGCTAATCAGGAAAAATATTGCCGAAGTGAACACCTCTGCTGACATTGACATCTCTGTCATGACTGCTGACATTGCATTTGATGGGGAACCATTGGCAAAACTCTCACCAACAACCCAGGACGAGTTGCGCAACATTATCATGACCTCGCAATCAAAGTCCTGTGAGATTGATCCACTACCTACAGACCTATTAAAGCACTGCTTCTTACCTCAATCATGAACAAATTATTGGCTGAGTCAAAGGTTCCATTATGTTTCAAGAAGGCACATGTCAGCCCATTGTTAAAGAAGCCTGGAATTGACAAGGAGGAGTTGAAAAAATACCGCCCAGTTTCAAATCTGCCTTTTCTGTCTAAGATATTGGAGAAGGTTGTGTCCCGGCGTTTAGAGGTTCATTTCCATGCAAACAGTCTCGATGACAACATGCAATCGGCCTACCGCATGGGACACTCTCTGGTATATATAGATATAGCGTCTGCATTGGATAACAAGTGTAGAGCGGTGCTTGTCAGGCTGGACTTGTCAGCTGCATTTGAGGTCATGATCATCGACCATGGCATACTTTATAAACGTCTGGATTATTCTTATGGAGTGACTGATACCGCACTATGCTGGATACAGTCTTACCTGAGTGAAAGACGACAGTGTGTTGCCATCGGATCTTCCACCTCACATGACAAAATACTAGATTTCGGGGTTCCTCGAGGGTCGGTGTTAGGACCACGAAAGTATTGTATGTACTCCAAACCGATTGGAGAGATTTGTCGTCGCCATAGCCTTCGCTATCATTGCTATGCCGATGACACACAAATTTGCATGGTCATCAAATCACAGGACAGTTAGAATACCGTCTCAGAAAGTCTGGAAGCTTGTCTGACAGATATCAGTATCTGGATGAACGCCAACATGCTTAAGCTTAATCAGGAAAAGACGGAACTAATCGTCCTTTCCCCAAAGTGTCAGCAAACAATGGCTCTCCAGCTCAAGGTCGGTGCCAGAACTATTGAGACTGTTCCAGCTGTTAAAAACCTAGGTGTATACTTTGATAGTTCACTGAACACGGAGAAACAAGTGAACGCTATTGCCACATCGGCTGTATTCGGCAGATTTTAACTGCAGATGCATGCAAGATTTTGGTGCATTCACTTGTTACCTCTCGGTTGGATTATGGTAACGTCCTGCTCTGTGGTATATCTGACAAACTAACTAGTCGTCTGCAGAGGGGCCAGAACACTGCAGCACGGCTAGTTACTCGTACTCGAAAGAGAAAGCACATCACACATGTGCTTTATGCGTTGCACTGGTTACATGTACGATACAGGTCGCAGTACAAAATTCTGGTGTACACATACAAGGCACTGAATGGAACAGCTCCTCAGTACCTACATGAGCTTGTTACCCTGTATCAGTCGTCACGATCACTGCGGTCGGAGTCAGAATCTTTGTTGTGTCCCAAAATCTCGTACTGTGACCTACGGAAACAGATGCTTTGGGAGGGTTTCGGCTACGTTGTAGAATAGCTCACCATCTGCTATTAGAAAGTCAAATACCCTGGCCAAGTGCAAGAGGGACATCAACACTCACCTCTTCACGTCTGCATTTTAGAATCTTTGCAAAGACGCCATGTAAATACCACCCTTTTATTTGTTCAATTATGTGCACATTGTTTTCTTAAATGTATAAAAGTGATTGTAAGCCTTTGTATTTGTTCTCACAATTATAACCATTACTATTATCCATATGTTGTAAAGCGCCTTAGAGTAATTTTACAAATTATATAGGGCGCTATATAAATGTTGTATATTATTATTATTATCAAATCAGTTATAATATTTCAACAACTCCTTCTGAATTACTTCAAATTTCAAGGTCATGGGAGAGAACATGTATCATTTTTCTTTTACAAATTCTTATCAATACTGAGGAACCAAAATGCTATAAGGTGATGGTATTTGGTCAGTAATCAGTAGATCACGAAATATGAAAACAACTTCGGAATTCCAAAAGGCCTAGGGACGATATATAACCAGTAGTATGCAATGTTGAATGTCTATCAAGTCTGTTCAAATCAATAATATTGTTCCATATCCACGGTGATAGGTGTCAGTGTCTTAAAATCTTTTTAAGCTTCCTTTTGTTTACTTATGATGATGTATGTGAAGTTAGGTTAGTTTTGATGTTATATTTTAATTTTCCACTACTTTTGAGTAATTCATTATTAAGTGCGAAGAAGGTGGTAGACAGACAGATGCCAAGTCATAGCATCAATAAATTTGCCTTGTTTAAACCCTATAAATAAATAGAGAAAAAAAATAAAACAACTCAAATTTTAATAAATATGTGAAATTTATTATCACATAAGCTTTTCACTCAAACAGCATTATGAGCACAACCATGCCAACTTCATGAGATGTTCAGCAGAGCTAGATATCACATGTATACTGTATGCATAAAGGTTGCATGTGTACAGGTACATTGTATACATAAAGGTCAGATGTGCACAGGTATACATAGGGATCACATGTACACAGGTATACATAGGGATCACATGTAAACAGGTATACATAGGGATCACATGTACACAGGTATACATAGGGATCACATGTAAACAGGTATACATAGGGATCACATGTACACAGGTATACATAGGGATCACATGTAAACAGGTATACATAGGGATCACATGTACACAGGTATACATAGGGATCACATGTAAACAGGTATACATAGGGATCACATGTACACAGGTATACATAGGGATCACATGTAAACAGGTATACATAGGGATCACATGTACACAGGTATACATAGGGATCACATGTAAACAGGTATACATAGGGATCACATGTACACAGGTATACATAGGGATCACATGTACACAGGTATACATAGGGATCACATGTACACAGGTATACATAGGGATCACATGTACACAGGTATACATAGGGATCACATGTACACAGGTATACATAGGGATCACATGTACACAGGTATACATAGGGATCACATGTACACAGGTATACATAGGGATCACATGTACACAGGTATACATAGGGATCACATGTACACAGGTATACATAGGGATCACATGTACACAGGTATACATAGGGATCACATGTACACAGGTATACATAGGGATCACATGTACACAGGTATACATAGGGATCACATGTACACAGGTATACATAGGGATCACATGTACACAGGTATACATAGGGATCACATGTACACAGGTATACATAGGGATCACATGTACACAGGTATACATAGGGATCACATGTACACAGGTATACATAGGGATCACATGTACACAGGTATACATAGGGATCACATGTACACAGGTATACATAGGGATCACATGTACACAGGTATACATAGGGATCACATGTACACAGGTATACATAGGGATCACATGTACACAGGTATACATAGGGATCACATGTACACAGGTATACATAGGGATCACATGTACACAGGTATACATAGGGATCACATGTACACAGGTATACATAGGGATCACATGTACACAGGTATACATAGGGATCACATGTACACAGGTATACATAGGGATCACATGTACACAGGTATACATAGGGATCACATGTACACAGGTATACATAGGGATCACATGTACACAGGTATACATAGGGATCACATGTACACAGGTATACATAGGGATCACATGTACACAGGTATACATAGGGATCACATGTACACAGGTATACATAGGGATCACATGTACACAGGTATACATAGGGATCACATGTACACAGGTATACATAGGGATCACATGTACACAGGTATACATAGGGATCACATGTACACAGGTATACATAGGGATCACATGTACACAGGTATACATAGGGATCACATGTAAACAGGTATACATAGGGATCACATGTAAACAGGTATATGTCAAAGGTATTCATGTGTAGGGATACTTTGGAATTCCTATTTTTCTCTGTCCTTAATTTTCGACATTTTACGATGGTCATTTTTGCAGAATAGACAGTCAGGCCGTGTGGCAAAAGCAAAAAGTGCTTATGAAAGATGGATAAATCACTTTTAATTTTGCAGGTTGTTTTTGAGTAAAAATTGTTACCAAAATACATTTAATAGCAAAAAGAGAACCCAGTTAAAACAAAACAATCTTCTCATGATCAGTAGTTAGCAATCTATCTACAGCTGTGACAAATTATCATCGACATGGGAAGAAGTACATTTCAATTCACATTTTGATCTATTTTCATTTGTATCCAAATTCAGTAATAATATGCATCAAGTATCACTTACATATTTCAATAGTTTGGCTGTGTATATTATCAAGGATGATTAGTGAAAGATTGTCATAGTTTTACAAAATATTTAAATTGTTCAATTTATCAGATACTTGCCACTGACTCAACACAATGGGATTAATCATTCCACAATTTAATCTTTAACAACAGTTATAAATATTTAAATCATTATCACATGACAATTTACCAAGAGAAACTTAATATAAAACATATGAATAGAGAAACAAAGTGAAAATTCCATCAAAAACACATGTTGTCAGTAAAACCAGTTGGATTGTCTAAGTCACTGTGTGCTTAACACCACTTTATCGAGTTTACCTATGTCAACACAGGAACAGTACAGACATGTTGACCAACTCCAGTCAACATGGATTTACAGTACATGTACATATTTCATAAATTATCAATAGTTTCACTGTTAAGGTGTTGACAAATTGTCAACTACCCTCCTGTATATTGTCAACAATGCTATACAGTGTATATGTTGATACAACTGTTATTTGTAGTAAACAAATGAAGAAATCAAAAATGATTTTTCAACATTAAAATGCAGTAACATCTAAATATAAGGCACATTGTTTGTTTTTAAGTCAACAGTTTACATTGTCAACAGATGGATATACTTGTACAGCATTTGTATATTTTTGTACGTCAACAGATGTGTAGAATTTGTACAAAACACAGCAAACAAAAACCTATGTTGCATGAATCCCACAACAGATGTGCACATCAACTATTTTGTCAACAGATGCATACATAAACCATACTCAATGAGCAATAACTATATATCCCTTCCAAGATAAAAGGTCATCATGTCTCCATTTGATATCATACAGAGGTAAACTAAAAAGGATTTAATTACCATGAAATAAAAATAAAATAAAAATAAAACAAATATGCTGCCAATGATTAAACAGCAGTTATTGGGGAAATAATGTGTCTGAAATCTAAAATAGGTATCAAAAATGCTACATATACATGATGTGTCACTCCCACTGTTAACAATTACATCTCCAAAAACCAACTATACAGAAGGGGATCTATATACTTCCAATTAACGTGCACACAACTTATATAATTAACACTAATTGATCATGACCATGCACACAACAACCACAAATGTAACAGTGTATTATACATTTGTTCTTTTTGAATTTCTTATCTTGAGCCACATACATTCGTGTACTTATTTGATAAAACATTTGATCTGATAAATATTTTTCTAAGCAAACGTTTAAGCTGTGGCAGATCTGGCTTAGTTTTTGTAATAAAACTTTGATAACTTGCTGAGCATTAATTTACCTTTCCCTAACGCATGTAAAACATTTTTGTGATTTGCATAATCATTTTCAATCAATAAATGTATACAATAAAATCACATTTAAAACCACATGGCATTTAATTTGTTAGCAAAATTGATAAATTTATTTGAACATGGTGCAAATGAATACCATAAATCAGGATATTTTTACTGTGTTTTGTATTTTTGCATCTTAGCCTGGAAGGTTCTAGTGTAGGGTAGATAGGTAATTAGTGTTACCTAAAAATATAGGCAAATCTGCAGTACTAAAGATTTTATTAGATGGGAAATATGAAAATTGCTGATTCAATACCAACACCTACACATATTCCTGAGTGAGTAGTTGTATGAAAAGGGCTGAACATGCAATGTTCAGTACCAGTTTGTAATACATTTTCGAATTTTGGACCTTGAGCCAACATGTCAATTTCATTTTTCTTTAAACATGCAGAGCCTAACATGATCTTGACGACGATATTACAGTTAATAACCTTATTTTTGACTGCGTAAATGAGCCAATACAGGAACGTATTTCGTCTAAAAAATTGTGAGGACATACGTACAGCACACAATCTTGTCACCACAGATGGGGGTTAAAATAGAAAAATATGCTGCCGAACATGGCAAACATCTGACAGACGTTCTCGGAACTCTCTCACTCAAAAACTTAAATTATGATATTTGTACAGTAGTCTTATCTTTGCACATTGTCCCAATTCACAAAACATAGAGGGGTAAAAATTTAACTGCATTTTTATGAAGAAATTCACAAAAATTAACCTACATAATAATATCCCGAAATATGGTAGGCAGTTTTTCTAGTGATGCAATTTAAGCTTGTATTCAGGATCTTCATCAGTAAAGCGATAGGTACTACATCAGGATTGGATGCCATGAGCTTTAAACATATGCCTGTACCTGCTGTCAGACCGTGTGAATGACTTAGTACAAAGTTCACATCGATATGAGCCAGTCCCAGCTGGGGAACAGATTGTCTTTTCATGGCGGCTTCGTGTACATTTCATGGTGAATCCTTTACCACAATATCTACAGAAGAATAGTTTGTCTTGCCCACTAAGATCCATCAAACCCATCTTGTGCTTACTATCACTAGTATTGGGAATAAAACTGTCAGAAGGTGGGCAACCAAATTGTGTTTTGGAGGTTAAATCAAAATTAGGCACTGATGATTTCTGAATTCTCTTCATGTGTTTTGTGGAAAAGTTAACATTCCTGGACATCGCCACAGCACTCGCACGTTTGACATGTGATAAGGCACTGCTTCTCCCTCTATTACTATAGTTACTGTGAGGTCTAATTGACGAAGACAACTTTGGTTTAGGTCCAGGAAGGTGACTAGAGCTGGACACACTGAAGCTGCTTGAATAAGTGTTATTGTTGTAATTATAATACTGTGATGAAAGACTTGTTTTCAGTTGTGTTTCAGAATTGTAGCTAGAACCCACACTTTCTGATGACAAACCGATAGGATGAGGGACAGGCATCGGGTCTAGTGGAGCTAACGGTAAATTGAAATTTTGAAAAACGTTTGGATCAAAATCCTCATTTTTTGGTGATTGTTTTATTGACCCTGTGTTTCTTTTGTTTGACTTATTGTTTATCTGTTTTGTACTATAGGTATCTAGGACTATAGAATCAGGAGGATACCTGTTTCTTGTTAGATTGTTCACGCCTGCATGCTGATTCAGGTCAGACACATCTGGTGTAGATGTAGTATGAGAGCTGGTGGCAAATTGGACGCAAGAATCTCCTTGAATGAAGTTGCTTCTGATGTCCCTAGATTTACAGTTATTGATAGATGGTTGGTAAGGATATTCTTCTGTATTTGTAGGGCCAGAATGAAAATCTGAAGTAACCATATACATAGTGTCATTGCTATCATCCACAACAGACAGTTTCTCAACAGAGTCATGTCGAATGTAGCTACCACTTTTTGGGGAGAAAGAAGAGGTCTTTGTAGACTGGCTATAACAGCTTTGAGCAATATCTGAGTCCTTTAAGTTTGCCTGCTCTTCTGCATCCAAATCATCTGGCTCAACTTTCACTATCACATAGTTTCCTTCTACTGACTCTACAAATTGTTTCTTTTTCTTATTCAGACTTCCATCAGTTGGAAGCGACACACTTTTTGATTGTTTTCTGGAATTGTGAATATTTTCCATTATACCACTCAAATTCTCTTCTTTGGCTCCAGTTTGGATGACATTTTCATCAGTAAATGTCTCCATACGTCCATTGACATCAAACTGAAGAGAGACATTTTCCTGTTCATTGTAGGACAAAACATCACCGTCTCCTTGAGAATTGGTGCCGACAGCTTCATCAGAAATTCTGTTTGAATTTTTACCATGTGATGGTGTAATACTTCCCTTACGTAGATTTGCGTTTGGACTGTCCTTGTCACTCTCTGGATTATTATTTATCTTTTTTCTCCCTTTCCCTAGCTTCTCGTGTATTTTAACAACATGTTGGTCATGCGAATTGGAAAAGGAAATGCAGATGATACCATCCACTTCCAAATTGCTATGAGTAATTCCAGCGTATGTCTGCTCACAAAATTTCACAACTGCTCTCTGTAGCTGTCCACAAACAGCTGCCTTCTTTTTCAGAAACTCTTCTGTATATGAATTCTCCATTGAACCTTTTTGACTTGTCCTGTTTTATTCTCACTAATTTCTCTCAAAAATGATTTGTTTCACATTTGAGTTAATATATATCATTATCCACTCTATTAATAGACATGATCGAAGGGAAACAACTTTGCAATTTGATGTTCTCTGCAATATAGATGAAAAAATATCAGTAATAGGCGGACAAAGTATGCATAATTCACAATGTTACACACTAGAATGCGTTCTCATTGATATATATGGTGACCAAATATGTGTTCCTGAAATGGCATAGTACAATTTTTGGATATAAGGTAAACAAACTTTTGAGATTAAGGGTATTTGTGTCATATATAAATTTCCCAAAACATGTAATCATAGAGTGAATTTGAAGAGAGATATTCTGCTTCTAATATGTCTGAATATATACTGACATTTCAAATGTTAAAAGCATTTCAATTCAAATCAACATCATCTTTACGAAAAAAGTACATCTTCATGGAACTTTGTTACAGCAAGTGAAATTAGTGAATTCGCAAAATAATTTACCAATTTCTTGATATGTTTGTAAGTTACATCTGAGATATCCAAACCACCACACAATAAATTGAGATACTTACAGATGTACAAATTGTGTAGTTACAGACTCCTTGTTTCATCTCACATAACGACAGATCAGAAAACTGTGGATATATCACCAATATGCTTGAGAACGTTGACCTACAGCAGTGGAAGGAGGAGCTTCACTTGACATTCCTGTCAAATAATGATAATATATATACAACAGTTATTTATCGCACTGTTTGTAATTTCAGAAATTATTTTAAAATGCTTTACAGAATCAAACTTAAACAGCTGTCCTGAAATTACAATTTATGTAGCCAGTCATGTCAACATAAGAATACAAAGAAAACATTCATGCATATATATCGCATTAAAATGTTTAGGTGTATCATAAATTCTTTATACCAGTAGTTTGTTGAGGGGTACATTGGTACCATCAACTAGGAGAAACATTCCTTCCACAATTAGTTATGGATATTAATTATACTCTCTTTGTTATTCTTTGATACAATTACTCGGAGAACCTACTCCTATAACGTAAGAGGCCGCCTTTTTCTATCGGATATGATCTTGCCGACTGCGTTACATGGCGCCTGTCAAAAGTATCTTGCCGTGTAAACCTGCCTGTCAAAAGTATCATGCTGTGTTAACCTCTAACACTAGTACTGTTGGAGTATCGGAGAAGGTAACAGGTTGTTTCGCCCTAAGGGATGTTACGCCCTAAATCCTGTTCGCGCTAAGGGTTGTTACGCCCTAAATCCCATTCACCCTAGGTTGTTTCACCCTTAATATCTTTTTTTTACTTTATATNACAGAAAAGGGGAAGTCCTACCGGGAATGGGGAAATCCTACCGGAATAGGGAAGTCCTACCGGGAATGGGGAAGTTTCATCGAAAATAGGGTAATTTCTACCCCCTTTGCGAGGAAACTTCCCCAAAACTATTCCCTAGTGGTAGTTCCTATCTAAAATAAGTTCCCGCTAATTACTGGGCCACTGAAGGAGTTTAATAAGGAACTGATGACAGATTTTTTTGATAAATGAAATGTTTACGTATTTATCTTTTGAAAAATGTGTACGTTTGATATATTTCCATGTCTGTATGCGGATTTGCTCAGGGGCAAAATGTCTGGGGGCGTTTCTGTTTTGGGTCACCGGTTTTGCTTGTAAACTTCCGGTTGTCAACTTCTTGACGATGTGACACTCCAATTACTCCCATAACATGAGAGGCCGCTGGTCGGCCTTTTTTCAACCGGATATGATTTTGCCGACTGCGACTCCAATATGCCACTAAACTNTAATAATTAATATTTAAATATATCAACTTAACTTATTGATGACTTTCTACATTGGTGTTAGGTATGTTTCATGTAGAGTATGTGAGAGCGAAGACAGCTTTCACAGCTGCCGTTTGTCACACTCCCTTAAAAACAAGATAAACACTTTTATTTTAATGATATGGAAGACTAAGAAGACTTAATTTGTGGCTTAAAACTACTGAAATTGAAAGAAAATACCAACCAATGTTTCGCCCTAATATTTTTGTTTTATGGCATAGCGCGAAATAACCTAGGGCAAACAGGATTTATGGCGAAACAACCCGGAACCATCAGAGAACCATGAGGGGTGTTTGCAACAAGTCATTGTGTTATAAACAAATATCATATGTTTTGAAAGGCTTTTTAGATAGCACTTGCAAATTAGCTCAGCATTTTCTGCATTTTTGATGCTAGGCCTAAGTGTTGGTTTCTATGAGGTGTTGGCGTGTAGCTAACATAGGACAATCATTATAATCTTAACTGAAAATCAGCAATACAAATGACACAAATTACAGCAATTATCAAACGAATTACTAAGTGCCAAAACCTCTCGGTCCTGAAGGACTCGCACAACTAAATCAGCCAATCAGCAAGTGTTTCAGAGTGTACACTAGGGAATAGTTTTAGGGAAGTTTCCTCGCAAAGGGGGTAGTAATTACCCTATTTTCGATGAAACTTCCCCATTTTCGATGAAACTTCCCCAAAAAAGTTTTATTTCCCCCTTCCCGGTAGGACTTCCCCTTTTCTGTGAAATTTCCCCTTGGTCCGCTGAAACTTCCCCTTTCTGCTGAAACTTCCCCTTTCCGCTGAAACTTCCCTTTTCTGCTGAAACTTCCCCTTTCCGCTGAAACTTCCCCTTTCCATTGAAACTTCCCCTTTCCGCTGAAACTTCCCCTTTCCGCTGAAACTTCCCCTTTTCGCTGAAACTTCCCCCCAGGCACGACGGTCACCTTTACCTGTACACCGATCGACTGACCGACCATGCCTGACAGCTGTAGCGACAGTGAGCGCCTGTCAGTCTATTAATAGATCTGGTGAGAAAGACTGGTTTACCTGTGACGATACCTTACCGTTGTTCAAGCCGGTCTGTTAAAAACAATGCTCCGACTTTTGTGTATTTATAATGACATATCAGACATCGATGTGTTTCGATGATTACTATATATA